GACTGTGCTATTCGTCTCTCACACCGGCAGGAGCCTATTCAGTACGTCTTAAACCTTTTAATCTTCCCTGTTCAGCACGGTGATCCTTTAGACGCATGAAACGTTTTTGAGGAGCAAATTACAACGTGTGTGTGCTCGGAGATATTCCCCTTGGTTTCCGGCATCAGAGACACTCGCATTTAGCCGTTCAGCAGGCTAAGTGCTGGCCGTGGACGGATGGATTTGGTTGGAGGGGAGATATTTCTTAAGCCCTCCATCTGTCTGACATTGTTAATATGAATGTGCTTGTTGATATGACTTGAATCAGGCAGGCAGAAAAATATTGCATATGCACCGCTGATGATAATACATCTTACACACTCACCCTCTGTCTATTTCCAATTGGAAAATGTCAAGCAAATGAGGGAGAATCAACAAGTGTCCTTTACAATTTATGAAGACATTTTGGAGATAGATTGCTGCAGAGTTTGCTTAATGATTCTGGGCCGACACTGATGATGTCACTTGCCGTACCGGTGCTTTTTCACTTACCTCTCTGTATGTCACCTGTACCCAGGGTCGAGCAGGGTCCATCTGTGTCGTCGGGCCCAAGGGACACAAGGTCTGTCTGCATTACATCTGGGAGCTCTACCTGTCGGTCAAATACTTTCAGTTCAGTTTGGAGGTAATAAAGCTGTGTTGACCTTCTTTTCCCAGGGTACCCCAGGTTTGGTGGGTCCTGAGGGGTTAGCTGGAGAGCCAGGGAAACCCGGATATCCAGGAGTTGGAAAGCCAGGCCCACCAGTAAGTGTGTTTCTCTAATAATGAAAGACATTTGGAGGAATTTACTAATTATATGTGCTCTTATTGGAAGGTGTAATTTTAATGTCATTACTTGTCTTAGAGATGGTTTCAGTTGGACCAGAAAGCACTTTTCTTTAAGATGATGCTCTCAAAAGTGCAGGGCAGGACTTGGCAGAACTCCTTCTTAAGTGCAGCATTCATTATCCTTATTAGAAGCATAAAACATCTTAAGAATGGCTTTTGAAAAGATTGATGCACTTTCTTTTTCTTTTTCAGGGCCTTCCTGGTAGACCCGGTGGTGCAAAGGGAGCCACGGTAGGTTTTGAGACATGACATAAGATATAGATGATGCTTATCTCATCCATTCGTAACACAATACTTAGAACATTACTGAAAAGCTGGATCAGCTCATCCAATAGGCATGTTGTGAAACCACCGATCCAGACATGCATATTAACAACATCACTCCATTTTATGTTTGGACTGTAATTAAAGGTTTTATTGAGCTTCTGTGGATTCAAAACATCTTGTCATCAGGCTAGCAAAACCCATATTTACATACTAGGTTCAAAACGGATGTTTTTTTAAGATAACTGACAATACTCTTCAGATAAATGCAGTGATTTGTGTTCACAGGGAATGGAAGGCCTCCCGGGAAAAGATGGATTTACAGGAGATCCAGTAAGAGACTTTCAAACACTGATTCATATTCAGCTTTCAATATACATTAACTGAACTGCTTAATCAGTGTTTGACTTGGATTCTGATGTTTTCATAGGGACCAAGAGGACCAGGGGGGTCTAAAGGAGACAAGGTACCCGCAAACTCTGTCCTGTAATCTCTAAATCTGCATGCGTGTGTGCTATCTCATCCTCATTTTGTGTGTTTGGCTCAATCTTCAGGGTGACCCATGCGAAGTGTGCCCCGTGCTGCCTTCAGACCTGGATAACACAGTGGCAGTGCCAGGGAAACCGGGCCCAAAGGGAGAGCCTGGAGTGACAGGGATAGGAGAGAGTGGACTGAATGTAAGCACACCGGTTTCAACGCAATGCCAAGCTGTAATGTATTCTGAACCAACCCCGAGTGATTCTGTCGAACACTTTTACGATCTTGCCACATGTTTTATGAGCGAGTCGTCGCTGTAGCTGACGATTGAACCTTGAGCACTTGTTTGATAGTGTGTATATATATTATTTTTCTTATCGTTCTGACGGAAGGTATAGGGTTTATTTCCACCTTCAGGCGGTTGTATTTGCGCTTGTGATTCTCACTGCAGCTCAAGGAGAAAAAGCGTGATATGCTGTCAAAAGTGTATTCTCCGAGGCAGAGGTCATTTTGGTAATGTAATCTTAACGCATCTTTCTCTGTGGACTGTGCATCGTGTGTCTCTTCCTGTTCTCTCTGCATCCTCCCACTTACTGCAGCAGGTGGAATGGAGAATGATTTGTAAGAGAATATAAATCTAGAGCCTTATGAGATTCTCTGTGCAACGATTTCCAATGATGCCAGCATCCATCGGTCATACCTGGTTAGGGCAGAGGGAGAAGTAGGTAGAGCAACACAGAGAGAGAGAGAGAGAGTGAGCTATAGTATTACCTCTCTCTATCAAAGTGTAACTAACAATACTTTTTTTTTCATATTTACCAGGGTCAAACGGGGGCAGGTGGAAAGGCAGGACAGAAGGTATGGAGTCTTTCTTTCACAGCTCATGGTTCATTCATATTCTGTGGAAGCGTGACCTATACCCACTCATCTGCATCTCTACACATTCAGATATGCCTACATCAGCAGTGCAGAATGCTCTTTTAAAGCACATGCAAGCAAACTAGCTGAACTAAAACTCCAAAAAAGAACATTCAGTACTCCTACAAATGTAGTATGTCTATACCCATATGCACATGTATGCGTTTAAAATATAAAAAAAATATGTAACTTGCACTTCTATTTGTTATACTTGTCAACTATCCATCTATATTCTACCGCTTATCTTAGTCAGGTCGCGGAGGTAGAAGTTCCAGTGGCACTTGTCAACTAGTTTGAAAAAAAAAAATGTGTCTGCTGTCTTACTCGTCATTTATGTAACATCTGCTTTGTCCAATCATAACAGTTAAAGGTAACCTGTTATGATCAACCTCCACTTTTTGAACAGTGTGAACACTAAATACTGGGCCTATCTTGCAGATCAAAGATGTTCAGAGATGCAATGGTCAACAAATCACATTCAAAACCACTCCTTTCCTTTCAGATCTCAAAATAGTTTTTTTTCATTAGTTACTACATACAGTACTGGCAAAAAAGTCACATAACTCCTTGAATCACTATGCAAATATGTATGTAGTTGACCTTCCAGCTAACAAGTGCAATTGTAGTCAAGCTACTAGCTTTCAAGACAATGACGTTCACTTCTCCCCACACTGATGTACCACAGTAAGCTTCCAATGTCTAGACACGACATATCAAAGAAAAACATGTTCACCGGAGTGAGCTGGGACTAATTTGCCTTCTTGGATGTCTTTGTGTCTGTATGTCTTGGCAGGGGGAACAAGGATCAGGTGGCATCAAAGGAGAAAAGGTCAGTTTTGATTAGGCTTGAGATTAAACAATCTATCATTAGACTGCTTTATCCAGCTGTCACTTACTGGAGAGTACCCTAATTAGTGAGCTTCACTTTGTAAGTCTCCATTACCTGTATGTATGTGTATTGTAGTACTGTAGTAGTTGCATGTTAGTTTTTTCTTCATTTTCATGATTCTTAAATGTGGATATTGTTTGAAGACGTTCTCTTACCCCCTTTTAATCTGACTACATGCTTTAGGGGGAGCAGTGTGCTGTGTGCCCCACTCTCGGAGGGTTACCCGCTAACCTCCCCCCCAATGTCGGGCAACAATTCCTAACGCAGAAGGGAGAGAAGGGAGAGCCTGGGATCGGAGAGCAAGGAGAGCAAGTGAGTCTGTTCCTAATGCGATCCTAGGGCTGATGGGGTGAAACAATAAGAAACAGTTTCATCTTGTCATTGTTTAAGGACTACTGTTTTACTGAAAGAAAGCAATAACATGGTAGGAGAAAACGGATTGGGTAATTGTTTTTATGATTTTGTTAACGTCGGTGTGTTTGCTTGCATGTGTTAGCAGCGATAAGCACCTTCATTAAAATGATGTATCGTTTAATTTCTCCCGCTCCACAGGGAGAGCCAGGAAAAGCAGGATCACCTGGACTTGGAGGAGAGAATGTAAGTAATGTGACACACAAAAAAAGACCGCTCTGAGAGTCGGTGACCTCAATTGCAGACTAGGCTTACATAAGGGGAACTCGCTCAATAGGCTGCACAGTGAGACTCGTAATAGACTTCATGAAGAAGATAATCACAGCAGTGCGCTAATTTTAGGGCCCAAAACTGTCCGCCATAGGGACTTTACTCTGCAGGGAACTTATTAGTGAAAAGCTTAGGTTTTGAAATCCAAAATCATCTGACATGGCTGCCTGTAGGGTGCACCTTAACTATGAAATGTGAATTACCAATTTAAAATACCCATCCATTTTATCAATTCAAATGCTATAGTGATTTTTTTTTTTACTTGACTGCAGGGTAGCGCAGGCAGCAGAGGAGCTGCTGGCAAGCCGGTAAGTTCAGATTCAGTTCTTTGAAAGCGAATATTTCGAGGTACACCTGCTGATTCAGCGTTGTTAAATGAAATGTGTCCATGTGACAGGGGAAGCAGGGACCAAAGGGACCCGGTGGCAAGGCTGGACAGAAAGGCCCTAAGGTAAGAGAGCAGAGGCAGGAGGAACATTGATCAACATCATATAGGAAAGCACCGTTTTTCAGCTTCTTCAAGAACTTTTTCAGTACTTCCTCAAATGAAGTGCTAGATTACTAGACAGTTTATTGCTAATTAGCAAGTTTCATTTCAAGGATATTGAACATTTTCCGCATGTTACTTTTACAGATGAATTCCCAAGTATCTCACAATTATGTTCAGAAACTAATCTGTATGCGCATATTTTACGATACAATAATTAAATACTTCTCTCTCATTTGATTCCTTTTTTTTTATGACATTAATCTGGTGACAGGGAGAGCAAGGACCGCCTGGTGTTAGTCAAGCTGGGCCCAAGGGCGAAAAGGTAACGGACAAATAATTGGTTTTTGCTTCATTTAGCTTGTCATGTCATGCAAACTAACCTTCCTGACTCCTGACCCCTCCCCAGGGCGAGTGTGGTCTCTGCCAGCCGGCCGAGGTTGGTAGCGGACCCGCCGGCTACAAAATGCCTGACGGAGTTCGAGGCAACCCAGGCGCACAGGGCCAGCAAGGTCCAGCTGGACCTCCAGGTCAGGGAGCCGAGGGCAGACAGGTACCAGTGCTCTTTAAAAAATAAAAGTATGGCTAGCAAAAGCGTATCTAAAAGCAAAATCTAAGAAATTCCTACAAACAAAGAAGCTGCCTTTCTTTTGTAGTTTGTGGTTTATCTTAGTTCCGAGTGTTTGCATTGTGGCATTGCTCAAAATGGAAGCAATATTGATCAATGGGGCTATAAAATGGAGTGATGGTATCTATTCACGCACAACACCGCAAACACAGAGAAACACACATATGAATTGTCAGATCAGAAAATTGTCTCGGCCTCAAAACTTTGTTGGTCCTTCCTTTAGAGGGCAGTATGACGCTCAAGAGCAAACAGAACAGGTACTCTTTCATTCCTGCTGCTCGCCTTGTCTTCAAGTTTTTATTATATTGTAAACATTGCTTGAGTTTGTTTCATTGTGCTTTATTATAACAAACTATGTTATATGCTTTTATTGCATTTTTATTAGTTATTATACTCATGACACATGAACATGGAACAGAACTGCAGTTCACAATCAAGCTCCTATAGAACCAAAATCATTATTTTATGACAACAGAAATGTATTCTGCTCATGACACCTCTATCTGAATGATCTGACTTTATTTATGAAATTTAAAAAAAGCAAAGGCATTTTGTTGCCATAATAAAACCGATTTAAGCAGCATCTGGATGAGCGAAACATTTTTAAATGCTGAATGATTTCACCCTGAGGCAGAATCAACCATAATGCTTTTTGTACAAATAGGATATGCAGGAAGTCTCCTCCTACAGCAAGAATTGTTACTAAGTGTAATAAATCTCTGTTGGCTTCTGTCACCCCTCCCAATTACATGCCGTGTGCCTCTGCGGTTATCTTTATGTCAGTTATTTTTACCTGAACGGATAGAGGCGTGCATGATGATCGCAGACATGGGGTTTGTGTTTATTGCATTTGTATTCATTTGTACATCACTTTCTATTTGCCTTCACAGGGCCCACCAGGACTTGCTGGTGCAATAGGAGAAAAGGTAACTTTGCTGTCACATCTAATTATAGATCTTGTCTGTAGAAAGCCGTTCTGTACTGTATTTGTATTTTCACACTCTGTGGATTCCATCAATGACCCAGCGACAAATTCACACCAGCCTTCACTTCAGCTGAGAAATTGAAACCAACTAATCAATGTCTCTTGGGCATTTTGTATGGTTTATAAATAACTCATGTCCACACACACAAAACCTTAAATAAGAAACTGCATAACCTGGAGGAGTTACACTTCTCAGAGTCACTGCTTGCCTTTAGAAACAGACAGACTAGATCATTTGACCTCTGCTGTAGGAGATCTGCGGGAAAACAACCACACATGGTATGGAAAAGTATTTCAAAGGAGTCCAGGCACCCTGCCTTTTTTCAGCTTACCAACTTTTTTGGGAACATTCACGTTGCTTGAGCCCCAGAAAAACTGGGAAATAAATCTGCCATCAACAGAGCCCGTCTACTTTAAATTACCTTGAAGCTCTCCTACAATCCTTTTGCTTCGACTTCAAAGCAGAATGAGAGGATTTCTAAGGCTGATACCACTCACATCGCTATTCACCAGTAAAAGTAATCTCATAATCGAATTCAGAAATTCAAACCAGCCAATTATAAAAAGGAAAGTAATGCTTTTCTTTCAGCAGCTCGTCTACAGAACAGATTGCAGAGGAAAATTGATCGTACCCTGTGGAGTTTTCTTATAAACAAACTTATGAACAAATAGTTTTTGTTTACATTCAATGTTATTCACCGTAACACAGGAGTGCTTTCCTTCCTCATGAAACTCTTGCAAAACTTATATTTTTAATATTATTATTCCTGAATAGTTTAAAAGTTGACTTGCTAGCGCTGTGGCAGTGGGTCTGGACATTGTAATGAGCAGTTACCTCAGTATGAGGGCAATGCAGCGCAGCGGCCATTAGACAGCAGGAGTGTTTAGGACCCAATTACTCCAAGCGCCAATATAGAAGCTTCATATATAGAGGAATCATGAAAGCTACAAGACATTGAGCAGAATGTTAAGTCATTATATTTCAATGTTTCCAGGGTGAAGAAGGTGGACGAGGAGACAACGGACTGGACGGATCTGCCGGATCCCCAGGACTGCCTGGAGAGGCTGGTCGGGACGGACTGAGTGGCTTGAAGGGAGAAAAGGTATGGAGTTCCCGAACCGTTTACTTAGGTCAACTTTGCATCTTTTTTGTATCTGCAAATGGATTTTATAAATAATATTTATTGCTTCAATTCTAAAGGGGGTACAGTTTTAATAGCCATTTTTTGTTTCCACAATATATGATGAAGCTCTACAGGTGGTTGGGTCTGTTTAGAGTTTTAACTTTCGGCCCTCTATCCATTGAGACCTTAAATAACAGATTCAAGATTCAAGGCTTTTATTGTCATTTGTACATAGCTACAGTGTAGGGATGGGAACGATTAATCGAATATTTGAAATTATTCAGGTATTCGAATATGAGAATATGAGTTATGAATATTTTTATTGTAATTTTAATTTTAATTTTCTTTTTGGATGGGGTGCCTAAGTGGATTACATATTATCAAATGGAATAATTCAATGTATACGACAGTGCCATAGCTAAATGTGTTAGGTCTAAAGGTGTGTTTTGCTCCGCTCACCGGTCCCTCACAGCGGGCAGAGCTCCAGGTGCTGATCTCTCTCTCTCTCGTCCGGTTATACTTCACTCGTGTTTATGTTCAAATCCATCAGAAAACCAAGTTATCAACTGTTCAAACTGTGATCACCAGTTCAATACATTTGACAAATTCGACTTGGTTTCTATACTTATTTGAACATGTATTTATTTATTTTTCAAAATTAAATATTTTTTTTTGTTTTTTTGTAAAAATGTTTCCCACATTTCTTTTTTGTTTATATAGGATATGTACATTTTGGTTAATCGGTTAACCGTTTTTTTGGGGGTCGAATATTCTAATATACATTTGCTTTCAAATTCCCATCCCTACTACAGTGTAGTTATGACAATGAAAATCTTAGGTCACAGGCTCCTCCAACAGTGCAACACAAGATGATATCCTATACATCCCTGGTCCCACTTCTAGACCTATGATGGTGTCCAGTAGTTTAACATTGCAACTGTATGGCAAAATGGGGGCTCTAGCATTTTTAAATATAAGATTGTTTTCTTCAAGAAGGTCCCTGGATCATGGTTTGGATTTGTTCTGTTTCCCCAGGGTGAAGCTTGTACCAGCTGTCCTTCTTCAGGCCCTGCAGTGGGTGGGGGTGTAGCCGTGCAAGGTCCCAAAGGAGAGAGAGGAGATTCAGGTCCTGCTGGGGAAGGCAAGCCTGGCAAAAATGTGAGGAAATTCTCTATTTATTTATCTATAATGTACATATTATGTATTTAATTTATGTATGTACTTCAGGCTCTAGGAAAATTGCTGATGATCATCTCAAATGTTTTTCTATTCAGGGAAAACCAGGCTTACCCGGTGTTCAGGGGCCCGCTGGTCCCAAAGGAAGCAAGGTGTGAATGTCCATTTATTCGAATAACTTGTTGATAAATACATTTGGAGGATTGTGCCTGATCATGAATCACTGACAGACTCTTATCTGTGTTGTTTGTGCCCCCTGTAGGGAGGTAATGGAGCTGCAGGAGTCGGCCTTCAGGGACCACAAGTAAGACTGATGCTGATGCAGCTCTGTCACTCACTCACACACACACACACACACACACACACACACTCTCACTCTCTCTCTCTCTCTCTCTCTCTCTCTCTCTCTCTCTCTCTCTCACACCTTTTGTAATCATTCATCATCATCCATTAGGGTTACAAATAGCCATTTAAAAAAACAATCATGGGTGTATCCCTCTTAAATCCATTGGGTCATTGTGGAATCCTACTTGCTTTATTGTTATTTTGATGTTGGTCTTTACTTACATCTCATCTGTCAGAGTCTGGCCACCTCACCAAAATATACACATCTTTGCATCCTCCGAGAACAACCTTAACATCTTAACCCCCTGCCTGTCTTTCTGTTTGTGTCGTAGGGTGAAGAGGGGCCAAGAGGGCTTCCAGGACTTGTAGTAAGTGAAACTATATTTTTTTAAAGTCATATTTTTCTACTCTGTATCTTCAGGCCGTGGTCTCATCTGTTTGTTTTGTACAGGGACATGCTGGAGCCGGAGGATTGACTGGACCTGTTGGTCCTGATGGAGAAAAGGTAGCATAAAATAGAGAGCTGGAGGCCACATGGATTGTAGCAATATGCAGTTAAATTACATAATTCAGTTTAAAGCAATGCAACAATGTGACAGTAAGTGTTTCCTTGTCTTAGGGCTCCAGAGGAGAAGTCGGGCTTCAAGGACCACAAGGGCCTCAAGGCGTTGGAGTACCAGGCCCCCCGGTTAGACATAGATGCATAATTTTACATATGAATATATTATGTCATTCTGTTGTATCGTCAAACACTTGTTCCTATTTACTTTTCCAGGGGGGAGATGCATTTCCCGGGCTTCAAGGAGCTGACGGCAAACCTGTGAGTTGTTTTGTTCCTTCATTGCCTAAATTGTTTCATTTGCATGTTGTTTTCTCCACAATTTGAAGAAACATTGAAGAAATTAAAGTAGTAAACTTTCAGTTGTTGCCTCTGTGTTAGCGTCTGTTCCCTGTGTTAATTTTTTTCTGTGAGCTTCTTTGGGAATTGTCCTTGATTTAGGCGTCATTTGTAACCAAGGATGTCTGCCTCGATCCATAACAGAGGCAATGTCTGCTCCCATCTCATCCTCTGTCCCCTGATCTGCGCTCCGCTCACTGCCCCGTGAGCTTTCTTCTGGAACAACAAAGCAAGAGTAACTAAGTGCTTGTGTGTGTGTGCGTGTGTGTGTGTGTGTGTTTGCGTGCGGCTGTCTCCTTCTTTTGCAGGGATATGATGGAGCTAAGGGGGACAAGGTAAGTCTACCGTTTTGTTTGGATGAAGGGATCTGAGGGGGGGTTTGAATATAAGGGGGTGGAACAGATGGTAATCGCAAGAGATGGTTCCCCTCGTCACACACACACACACACACACACACACACACACACACACACACACACACACACACACACACACACACACACACACACACACACACACACACACACACACACACACACACACACACACACACACACACACACACCTGCCCCAGGCCACGGATAGAGTAGCAGAGGAGGTGACAAGTGTACTGTTGCTGGCAGACAAGAGGAGTTTCGGGGCCTTAAGAGAGAAATTGTGTGAGACTATTAATTACCGCATTCATCAGAGCCACCAGTCCAGCCTGTCACTGAGAGGCTGGGAGAGATGAAGGGGCGGTGGAGGCAGGGCTCCAGGGTCGGGAGGGATGGGAGACAGGAGCAAACAGTGAAGGAGGACAAATAAAACTTCTCTCCGAATAACTCAGATAGAATAAGCAAGATAGGGCTTTGGTTCCTTGTATTACAGATTTGAGGTGAATCACACCTTTCTTTGCATCATAGATCTCATTCTACTCTTCACTACATTAGAGTTTCGGGGACTTCATGTAATGCAACACTTCCAGATCACAAAGTATTCGTCCCCTGCAGTTTTGACTGTCTTTTTGATGTGTAGGATTTTCAGATTTTTAACAAAACTGAACCGATAGTCCTTAAAGCTCAAAGAGTTGCGACCCTTCTGAAGTTTTAATGCGGAATGACGACATGCAGCATGTGCAAAACATTTTGCAAAAAGTTTCCTTTTTCCTTTTTAAATGGGTTTTTTCTTGATGTATATTTCAGGGTGAACCTGGAGAGTGCAACTGCATAACGCCTGGGCACTCAGTCGTCGGTGGACCTGTGAGTAGAAATGTGCACACACACACACACACACACACACACACACACACACACACACACACACACACACACACATCTAGACGTACAATTATTTCATGTAGCGAATTGATGCCTTGCAACAGGAGTCTGAATACACATTGATTGTATGATTTCACACACTCACACGGTTAATTACGACTCCACAGGTGACACATTCAGAAAAACCTACGTTCATGCTTGGTTATTTCCCTCCTGCATAATTTTGTTCTTTGACATTTGTCGTGTTATTCCTAACTTCACACTGTGCGCTGTCTGTATGTTTTGCAAGCACCAGTGCTCCTCTGATTCTGACGACTTTTGCCTTCCAGGGAGCTCCAGGAACTGCAATAAACGCATGGCAGGCCGGGCCCCAGGTCTGATCCGTCAGCCAGCTGTCGTGTCTGATAACTCGGGCTTCGATCGCAGGCTTTGTTTCTGTTGTTACCTCGCAAAGATTCTTCACAGAATTCTTAATTTGTGTTGAGCTATATGTCAAATGTGGCTATGTCTTTGTGTGTTGTAGGGCCCAGCTGGACCTCCCGGCCCCCCTGGCCCCCCTGGGCCTGAGGGTGTTCATGGAACAAAAGGAATACAGGTAAGAGAAAGAAGAGCCAGTAGGACGGTGATGGTGTAACCTAAATTCAATTCAGCTGCTCTTTTAGCCTGGATTAAACGACATGCTACTCATGATGTAGGCTTTCAGCTTGGGCAGCTGGTGTCCTTCAGAAGGCAATGCTTTGACATGCTTTGCAACTAAATGGGGAACATAACTTTCATAATGTGCATGTAGGAAATGGAGCAACATCAAATACTGATTGTGTGCAACAGCTTTGTTTAAATAGTCTTAGAAATCAGGATCAAATGACCAGTCAGGTGCTTAAAGCTCTATCTTTTGTGGGAAGCAACTGAGCAAGCTTTGGGAATGTCAAGACATGAAGAGTTATTTGAAGGTCTTAAGTTTAAATGTAAAAAAATAAACCGGTGGTTATTTGAAGTTTGATTAATTTCTAAACTTGAGCAGACCTTCAAATAAGGTATTACTGTGATCTGTGTGAAAGTAAAAGGTGTGCAAAGACATCTAGAGTGGTGATGAAAGAGGTCATGTCTTTGACAAGGGTGCATTTGTAAAAATGGCTGAATGCAAAATACTAAGTTTCATAAGAGCTGGTGGAAGAGGGAGCAGGTGTGATCATTATGACCTTTGACTCTGCCTTGGCTAATGGTGGAGATGGGAGTGGCTAGCTGATGGGCAGCAAACCAGTTCAACCTCAGTTCCTTCCTTTCAGGGTAACCCTGGAAACGACGGGATACAGGGGATACCTGGAATAAGCGTGAGTAAAATTAGGGAGTAAAGGAAGGAGAGGAGGCATGATAAATCATGCAAAAGCACCAAATCAATGCATATGTCAGGAAGGGGTGATTATAAAAAAGAAGGTTGTGGTCCCAAGTTTTTCGAGGTCATAAACTATTAATTGAAGGGATAAAAGCAAGTAACACAGGGTACACATTTAAAAAAAATGGACAAAAAAGTATATGTATAACTTGGTCTCCTGTATATGCCTGTATTTTATTATGGTGACTGGGATTTAGAGCTGTAAAACCCATTATGTATATTCAACCTGTTATGCATCTACGTTCAGACCTGTTCTAATATCTCAGAAGGTCTCATGTGTCCAAAGCTACTTTACCTAAAGTGAAGTGCAAGGACAACATCAAAGTGGAGAAGTGAGGCGTTGGGAAGTCATCTGTGGATTCTGACTGTATACGGTGTCAGTTTTGTTTCTTTCAAGTCTGCTGATGGCTTCATTTCATTAAAGGAACATCGATGCTGATTCCTGGCCAGCACTCAAGGGGAATTTCACCTCCAACAGGAATTCAAGTAGTAGTTTAAAGACGGAAAGGGAGGTGCTGGAAAATCAGTAGAGCACTCTGGAAATGATTTGAGACTGAACTTAAGTAAACTCTGTGCAGAAAGGTGTTGATTGATCACATAGCAACACCTCCACTGGCAACATGACTACAGGCATACAGACGGACATGATCTGTGTATATATAAATGTATCCATGAATCATGGTTAGAAGGAAGAGATACACTGAAAGCTCTTTTACAGAATTGATGAATATTTGTATGCGCTATAAGAAGTGGACAAGTTGAATCCCTCATTTGACCTTAATGTCGGTATATAGACTTACTTATGCCTCTTATTTTCCGTGGTTCTGCAGTTATTATGTCACTCACACTCACAGCAGATCTCTGTGAAACCTCACAAATGTCTTAGTCTTTGAAAAACAAGTTGCACGGAAAAAACACAAGGTTTGCAATTTGCTGATCCCTTTAAGTGTGGCAAAAGTGAACATGCTGAAGTAACAGATTATTGTAGAGAAGCTTCTCTTGGAGATAGTCTGTTAATGCACAAAAGCCTTGTGCCCGTAAAAAAAAAAAGCCAATGGCGCGCAGCATAAAATAGCCTTTCTAGCTAATGGCTCCAGCTTGAACAATGTAAAATGGGTTTGTAATGACTTTGAAACCAGGCCAGGTGCCATTGACAGACTCTCTCAGTGGAAAGGGTCCTACTGCTTTGATAGGGAGCAGACTGCCTTTCACTGTAAATGTGATTGGGCTTGTGGAGTGAGTGGTTTCATTTCAGAATACTGTATTAACAGGCACTAGTGGCATTTGATTGTTTTTTTTTTTCTCTTTTATATGTACTTGCCCATATCAAAAATGTGTGTGTGTGTGTGTGTGTGTGTGTGTGTGTGTGTGTGTGTGTGTGTGTGTGTGTGTGTGTGTGTGTGTGTGTGTGTGTGTGTGTGTGTGTGTGTGTGTGTGTGTGTGTGTGTGTGTGTGTGTGTGTGTGTGTGTGTGTGTGTGTGTGTGTGTGTGTGTGTGGTGTGTGTGTGTGTGTGTGTGTGTGTGTGTGTGTGTGTGTGTGTGTGTGTGTGTGTGTGTGTGTGTGTGTGTGTGTGTGGTGGTGTGTGTGTGTGTGTGTGTGTGTGTGTGGTGTGTGTGTGTGTGTGTGTGTGTGTGTGTGTGTGTGTGTGTGTGTGTGTGTATTATATGCCTTGCATTTAAGGTTTTCTGGAACAGAGTTTAGGTCTCGATAGATTTTAAATTACAGCTTCAAAGCAATTAGTTTAAATTGGCTCTGAGTTTTGTTTTGTTTATATCTGCTTTTATTTTATTACAATGTGCACATGTGTCACTTTATGAGAATCAAGTTGTGGCATATGTTGTAGTAAAAATAGTTGACTCCAGAACTAATAAACCTAGAGTTGTTTCTATACGGTGATGCTGAAATAAGCTTAGGCCACTGTATTTTAATTTGTGAAATACTTTACATTTGTTCAAAAACATTAAAGGGGCCCTCGCATGCTTTTTTTGGTTTTATATTTATATTTACGTTTTTTGTGCATGTAAATGGTCTGCAAAGGCTAAAATGCAGAGGGAGTTTCTCTCCCACCCTGTTACATAGTGATATCACTATGTTACATAGTGATATCACTATGTAACACTTGTGCTTTGTTGGCTAGCGTGCCGACACAATATACATGATAGGCTAAAGGGCGGGACATCTCTAAGCGGTTGACCAATCACAACAGAGCCAGCCAGCTCACCAATCAGAGCAGACTGGGCTCTGGTTTGAGACAGAGGGTGAAAAGAGGTGCTGCAGCACAGGCAGTATGAGAAAAATAAAGAGCTTTTTGAACATTAAAGCATTGAGACATGTCACAATTATGAAACCAGAAAATTAGTATAGTAGGGTCCCTTTTAAAATGTGATTTTCAGGTTATCATGAAAAATAAAGACCAGGATTTATACAATTTAAAGGTGGGGTATGTAATTTTGGAGAAACCAGCTAAAGTGCGCTAGAATTTGAAAATACACAACCGGAAAAAATCTGCCACTTCCTTACAGAGCCCCTCCTCCAACACACACAAACGCGCACATGACCAATGAGGGCACAAGAAAAGTTTGTGCACAGATGGAAGGCTGACAGGCAGGTAGGCCATCCAGTTATTTTAGCCGGGCCGGCTAAAATGATTGGTCGTGCTTTTTACAGTACTACGGCTTCCACAGATGACATTTCTTTATGGATTTTTTGTCAAAGCACTTAAGATATTCATTGCTATCGGGATGTTAAGAGCTTTCCATGGAATATAACAAAAAGTGTATCTCGAGCCGGTTTCTCAAACTTACCTACCCCACCTTTAACCATTACAATTATTTGTATTGTTGACACAGAGAAGCAAGGAGTTTCAGAACTGTACAGCCTCCTGAATGAGGGGTTAAATGTCCTCAAAAATACCTTTTTCAAAGCAGACATTTCATATAGTTATGGTATGAAAAGCAGAGATTTTTAATATTAACACTAATGATGGCTCCGTCCTTTTCAACAGTCTCAGATTGACCGTGAGCGAGCATGAATCATACCATACCATCAAACAGAATTCAGCTATTAATCATTTCATTATATACACACCTGTGCTTTTCCTACTACTACAAGTTCAAATTTGAAAAAGGCCTATTCTGCATCTTCAGTGCTTTATTTTGTCCTGATTACTAAATGAGATGGTCCTACAAGGACATGTCGCTAAGAAAGGTTGTGACTCTTTGTAACAGTATCTTTGGAACTTTAAAAAAAGCGAAATGTATAAAATTGCAACACAAATATCGTATAGCTGTTTTTCCTCCATATGAATGCACAGGTATATCCTGGTTTGAATAAGCATGAATCACTCAACTGTACGGGAACTCAAAAGAAATGTCATTGCTAATAACAGACCGCCACATGAGTTACATACAATTGGAAAAAAGTTTGTCATTGTGGAAGTAGTAAAGTCTTCAAAGAAACTGATTAATCACAAAGCTGTCTTTGAACTTTATTTGATGTAAGAACATTGGGAAATATTTATTGCATTTGTAGATGATCAAAGATTTGATTTTGATTAAAAAGGTTTACCTTAACTATTCTATTTGATGCAATAAACAAATAGTAATTGTTATTTGTTTCCCTGCCCCTGCTCTAGTCAGGATATATTGCATCACAACGGCTGCCTCAAGACAGTGGAGATACTGGTGATGTAAGTGCGAGAGTAACAAATATATATTTTGGTGAATTTGCGTTTATCGTATCCATTGACTTTGCTTTCTCTTTGCCATGCCAGTTTTTGGGCATGTGTGTATATACTGTATATATATGAATGTATGTGTCTATCCGTGTTCAACGCAGGAGGGCTGTGGAGGGAACTGTTCCCAAGGATCTGGAGTGCCAGGCCCAAACGGTGTCAAGGAAGATTCAACAGACCAGGGTAAGCCTGGTGTAACCCCATTGGACAGCTGTGACAAGGTGAGACATGAAGATTCCTCGTTTCCAGAGTCATATTAAAGCATCACTAATATATGTGTTACTTTATGTGTTGTTATGCTTTTATGGATATACATTTCCATACCTTAATTTGTATTGTAACTTGCATTGCTTGCATGTAGTTATCCATCTGAGAGCATGTAGCTCCAGCTCTGAGGCACTACTCTGATTCTCTTGTGTGTTTCCAGTGTTTGCAGAGACTACAAAGAGACCAGGGAACACAACCATCGGTCAGTTAGTAGTCTTTTTATCACATTCTGAGGACATTCACTGAAACAAATGTGCACTTTTCTTAACTTATTTATGTCTCTACCCTTTAGTACGACAGATCAGGATCACCCGGAATTCCAGGATCAGCCGGACCAGAAGGAATTAGAGGACAGCCAGTGAGTCTGATGCAAACATACTTTTAGATTTACATGAGTGTATTTGTGTTTGCCTTTGTATGCATTTGAAAATGAGCATTTTTCTTTCTTTATCTGAACTAAAGGGTATACCAGGAGAGCGAGGCTCAGCTGGAGTACCAGGACTCATGGTGAGATTAAGCAATGGAATGCCTCTTATCTATACATTCCAGCAACATGACTCCCATAGAGCTTATTTATAGGAGAGAAAGCTGAGTATTTTCCCATGGTTTAATTCAAAACACACCATCCTCTTAATGGCAACACTACAGAGCAGTGGAGGTGGATTCTTATTCTAAGATATTCCTCTAATGTGAGGTAGGTCTACAGTTCCAGTACTTTGAAGGCTTTTCTTTTTTTGTCACTCTGAAAACTATTATAGACCAAAGACGTTGGAGAACTATAAAGTGCATTCTAATCACTGTCTAAGTGAGCCAGTGCTTCTGTCAGGGAAGATTTTCAATTCCATTTCTTTCTTTCTTTTGAACGTTTTAGGACAGCACCGCTGGGATTTGTCTCAAAGCTTCAGATTTAAAATTGAGAAGAGTTTGTGTTTGCCATTTTTCATGATTTCACAGAGCCCTCTGCTGGAAATGATGTACCATACAATGACCCAACATTACTAGCATCTTAAATTCTGATCAACACGCCGTCTCCATTGCAATATTTGTAGTAATTACTGCATTTCAGAGACTTTAAACCTGCTCTAAGATGATGACATTTCTTTGCCAATTCTTTGTTTTCTGTCAACAGGGACCTGTTGGTTTCCAAGGTCCCCAGGGCCCACCTGGTACACCTGTAAGTTTTACTCACACTTAAAAAAAATGTTTCATCCATATCCGCTCTATTCTTTAATCTGTGATGGAAGAAGATCATTCTATTTGAGAAGAAAGAAACAAAAACACTTCTATGCAAGTAAAAGAAAATGTGTGGAAGTTTTATCAGTTAGCATCTTAATCAAATCTTCTTTTTGCTTTCTTTTGTGCTTCTTGATCTTTTAAATCAATCAGCCCTTGATTATGCCATCTTTGCCATCTCTCCCTGCCTCTCCGTGGCTCTGGATGAAAGTTATTTCAGATGAGGAAACGATTTGGTCGTCTCTTTCTCCAGTTGTTCAATTATTCCGCCGTCTAAGTGATGGAGAGTGGGACTGCCGTGCAGACAGAGCCCTCCCCTTCCTCCTCCTCATACAGATTTATTGTTTTCGCAGAAGAGAGATGCTAAATGAAGGAGCCGTGCGAGCGCTGCATGGAATCAATTCGCGGCATAGTAGCACTTTATAGCAGGTGTTAGCCTCCGCTGTGTGCAGTGGTGAATCTGTTTATGCTGTTTGTGCATGTATCACTCATATTCACTGATGAGATGCTAATTAGTGTCTCCTCAGTACGATCAATCACTAATTACTTTCTCGAGATTACAACCCTCAGCAATCACTCTCACTAGGAAATTCTTACAATTTTCTTTTTTTAAATGTATTCTTAAGGGGTAATTCTTATTAAAACAAAGTTAGTTTAACAGCTTATTATCATTCTCCCATGCCACCACTTTAAAGAAAGCACCTACTGATATTCTATTTATTAATTTCAAAAATAAAAATGTTTTATTTTTCTTCTAGCATTCATCTGTCTTCCACATACAGTACAGCAGCTGTTGCTAGGCTACACAGAACACTCACACATGCATATTAATGGATACAAACATGCAGTGTTTTCTCAGAATTTGACATGTTATTCATTGCAGAGGTAAAGTTTGCAGTATGACAATAACCCCCATATATTTCCGTTGTTTGTTCGATGTCTTAAAGTGATAAATGACTTCTGGAAGAGAGGAGGGAAACAATGTTGTATAACTTATTGGAAAAGAACAAAAGGAGCTAACATATTGAACGTGCTGCCTACTAACCAAACATTGTAAAAAAATGTTCATGCTGTTCTTATAACATTGCACACAAAATGTACTGCGTTATTTCTTAACATGGTTTGTATTTCTTTTTGTAAAGACACTTTTAGGTACTGGCGTTGGAAATTGGCCGTAGCTATAATAACTGTGTTTTAAAATAAACATTCAATAATGTCTGTCGGTGAATTAATGATAGGAATAGCTTTTTCCTCTCTTTGATATTGACCTGCCTTGTCCTTGGCTGGATAACATACATACAGTATCACATCATACATATCCTCTACCTCATTTTCTAATCATTCCTCACTCCAATCATTCTCAGGGACAGTCGGGTGAGTCAGGGTCATCAGGCCTGCAAGGGATGAAGGGCGAACAGGTAAATATCTGCCAATCAATCCGCCTGAAATCATAACATGTAGATTTCTTTATTTAATTTGTATTATATGATCTCTCGCTCAGGGTGCTTCTGGGATATCTGGCTATCCAGGAAGCATGGGACCGCCTGGACTTCCTGTAAGTTGCTCTCACCTTCCTCATTATAAAAGAAGGATGTGATTGACAGCGACCTGACATCTTTAATGAATGGACAGGTGGTTACAGTGATTTACTGTCCATATGTATTTGTCAGGGAATGAAGGCCGAACGTGGGAGCCCCGGAAGCTCTGGTCAGAAAGGAGAATCAGTAAGCCATTACACCGTCAATAATATATACTGCACAATGAATCTGAGCTAGTGTTAGTGGCTAACATTACCTTCACCTCTGCAGGGCCCTCCTGGTGTACCCGGGTACCAAGGACAAGCTGGCCCAACGGTCAGTGTTTCATCATAAATTGTGCACAGCAATATTTAAAGCCTGGCTTCCTCATGTATCATCACACACTTCTTTATAATAAACCAACAGTAATGTATATCCTATCTGTGTCTGCAGGGCATTAAAGGAGACAACGGACCAGCAGGGCCTGTCGGTCCCAAAGCAGATGCGGTATAAAAAACACATGACAGAAAAATGTCATCTTTATGAAGAAATTACACACACACTCATATGTTACTCTTTTTATTTTAAGGGTTTCCAAGGATCACCAGGTTTCCCAGGACCACCAGTATGTACATGTTGTACCTTTTATTATTACAATTTCTTGCCCTTAGATTAGTTGGAGTAACTTTTTTTGCCACCGTGTGTATTTTTAGGGTGGACCAGGTCCTGCTGGCAAAAGTGGAAGGGAAGGGCTCTCAGGCCTAAAAGGTGAAAAAGTGAGTACACTTAGCATATTAAGCATTATGTTTGATTCCAAAATGATTATGTGTTGTACTGAAAACCCTTGCTTCCATAGGGAAATGATGGCGCTCACGGCTCTCAGGGATCAACTGGACCTCCAGGCTCTTCAGGCTCCCCTGGGCTCATGGTGTGTTATAATGCTGCATATTATCCAAGTTTGACTAATTCCAAGAATCTATGACCTGAATTCTCATTCGCCTTCTCTGTCTGTCTCAATGAAAGGGCCCCCCTGGCATTGAGGGGTTGGATGGAAAGGATGGGAAACCAGGGCTGCGGGTAAGTTAAACACTGGCAGAATATCCAAAGACACGCTGAGGTCATGCTATAGTTGGTTTAGTTAAATACATACATGTAACCTTTGACGCTGGCTTTTCTTTCGTCAGGGAGAGGCAGGCCCTGCAGGCCCAGCAGGACCGAGAGCAATCCCAGTAAGAATCACCACTTACATCTACATGACCCGATGTATCCAGTGCAAAAAACATTGTTAATTAGGCATGAAGTGCTGTTCAAACCAGATCTTAATATAGACAATCATGCATTTTATCTACCAATCTGTATGAATTATTTGGTGCCCTTTTGGAATATGTGTTATGAAAACAAGCATTGACAGTAAGACAGTAAAAGGGTTAGCTTTTAATTCATAATTTAGTCTCCTAAATGATTTATACTGAGAGTTTAGCCATGCTCGTTGCATGACTTCTCTAATCAGGAGTTTTACATTTGTAGTTTTGAGTTAATTTCCTCATGAAACGATTGGATGGATTGCCATGGAATTTTGTTTTTAAATGAATGCCCCCCATCAGGATTATTTGTACTTATACATTTTTCACTTCACCTATCCTAAAGCACCATTATCAGCTCAGGTTTTATTTAATTCTATACCAAATACCTGCGAAATAATTATAACCCTAACCCTAGCTGTACTTTGTGTTGATGGCTAATCAGCCAATGTTATCATGCTAACATCTTAAACCAATGTGCATTTCAATACATCCTCTCAGAGCCATTTGCAAACTCTTATTTATGTTTACACATTGCATAATTTAGAGATAAATGCAAATCTTGTGTTCTCCCTAATATTCCCGTCAGCAATGCCCTCTGTACGTTTCACCTACAGCAGCTTGTTTTGATAAGATACATTGCGGTAGGCATACTTTGTATCCAATGCTTTAGAATTGCATTGCCACGGCTCACCTTGAGTTTCACAAACTGCTATGGAAATCAGCCTGCATGACTAAACCTTTTTCATTGGAAACCTATCTGAAGCTCTTAATGGAGAGATGGATTGCCAACGATGGGTGGAGTTTCTGTCCTCTTGAGATTGTGACTTGCATTTTGGATTGATCCTGAATATGTATAGAAAAGTTTCAAGACGGGTCAAGACGGGTGTGATTAACTCGTTCATGACTTTTATATGGTTTTAACAACCGCGCCCAAATCAAATGCGCTTGGTGACTCATGAAGGTGCAATCGTGAGTCTTGTTAATGTGGCCGTTGTCACTAGTGACCTCATTTGAAACGGCTAAGCTTCATATCTTCTATTAGTATCTTTCCATTTTTTATTCCGACACTGACACATGCTACAGTATAGTCAACTTCTCTTTTGATTTGACTTCTCTGACTCTGTATCTCAGTTTGAGTTCCACCCGAGAGCAGGTGTTTGGGATTTCAAAGACACGTCTACCTGTTCTTTGCCAGCATCGACTTTGTGAATTTTGATACTGTACCAATCTAATTCTCTTTGATGTCTCCCCTCAGGGATTCAAAGGGAAAACCGGCCATACTGGCTTCCCTGGACAGAAGGTGAGCCAACAGCTCGTTGCTTTGCCATCACGCTATGTCTCTTCTGTATTACAACTTGTTATTGCTGTCTGCTGCCTGTGCATTAAGGCCAAGTTGTTTTATCAAACTGATAATGATGTCATGACACAAGTGTGCTACCTCGTTGTTTTGAGTCTCTGCTAGTAAATTCCTCTCACGCCTTTTCATTACTATCTCATTCCTTCAGGGTGAATCTGGACCTTCAGGCCCCTCTGGACCACCAGGCAGGACAGGACATGATGTGAGTATTCCTATTTGTTATCACTACACCAAGTTTATTTGTATAAAGATTCAAATGAAAATCCATAATCTGTTTATACAAGCCCAAAGAAACAGAATTGAATCATAATCGGTGCAACTCTGGAGATTACTAAAGGTCAATCTGTGACCTTTTTAGGGTGACTCCGGGACCCCAGGACCTCCGGGCCGACCTGGACCTTCCGGCCACATTGTAAGTTCACTGCCCTTTTAACCTTTAGATTGTGCATCTAGGAAGTTGGTGTGTTAAACTTGAATAACATATTTTTATTTGACTCATTAGGGCTCATCAGGTGCAGCTGGACCACCAGGCTCACCTGGTCCATCAGGACTGGTGAGAGAAATGCAGTGAAACATGTGACCATCACATTTGAACAAACAGGAAATGGATTAGCTGAATCTTTCCCAAAGAGGCACATGGGTTGTTTTTTACTAGCTTAATATTTGTTGGAGGTTTGTTGGGTGAACATTAATTATGCTTACAGACAATCATTACAGAAGCTACGCATACTGAAACATGATGGATGATGACCAGAAATAAGAATATGCAATCTTAATTTTCAAAAATCACAAGTTGAAATTAACGTGCCTTAAGATTGTGTGAAAACGATGCATTATGAGCTATACCAGTGTTTCCCATACATTGATTTAATTTGTGGCGGGCCGCCACAATTAAATATAGTCCGCCACAAATGGATCTCGTAAAAAAAGAAAAAATATATATATATTTCTTTTTACATTTTTATTTTGGTGGTCTAATGGATAGTGAGGTGGGCTGATGATCGGAAGGTTGCGAGTTCAAATCCCTCCTGGAACACCACTACTAGTGTGCCCTTGAGTAAGGCACTTAGCCCTCAGTTACTCCAGGGAGAATGTCCCTGTAATTGGTCATTGTAAGTCGCTTTGGAATAAGGCGTCTGCTAAATTGTAAATTATATTTTTGGGAGAATAAACCCCACAGATCCTCAACTCCGGTGTGTCTCACTCATTAACAACGCAACACAGAGCAACAAGAACGTTGTCTACAGTAGCCATGAACTCGCATGTATTTTCTTATTTGAGGGGGGGTGGATGCCACCCGAATAGGTTAAGGGGCCTTTGGCTTTTCTTGCCAGGGGGGGAGGGGTGCGGTGCCCCCACAAATAGAATCAAATTCTGTGGGAAACACTGTATACTGTTGTGTATGAGAGAATGTTTAACAAGAAGAGCATCTTAGACTTTGAATTCTCCATCTTCCCTCTGTAGGGTATAAATGGAGACAAGGGCCAAGCTGGGGAGAGAGGTCTTCCAGGGATGGGAGGAGCCCCCGGACCACCTGGGCACCCAGGGCTTTTGGTTGGTACCCCTATACTTCTGTAAAAGTCCAAATGTAGACCCTCAGAAATGAAATTAAACCACATTTGAACTGCTTCAATGCCAATATAGCTCACTCTTGTTTCTCCTGCTTTAACTTTGTCTCTAAGGGAGAGCCAGGCAGCGATGGTGCAGCTGGTAAAGATGTGAGTATCTGGTGTTTATCTTCATCAATGTAAATGTGTTGTGGTGATATGCATTTTTTGTTTTCTTCCTTTGATGGATCTTTCTTTTTTGACAGGGATCCGGAGGCCTTCCAGGAGAAAATGGGCAGCCAGGTCCAAAGGTGAGAGCCGGTTCGAGGTAGTACAGTATATAATGCGGTCGTTTATGTGTGTGTCGTCAAACTGTATCACCTCCGTAGACCTGAATGCACAAAGATGCCCCCTATTTTTCTTCTCTTTAGTTCAAGGAGACTTGGTGCTGAACACGCTTACTCTCTCCATTTCTGCCCACTAAGCACCCACACTTAACACAGTCATCAGTTCACCCATCCTCCGACCCTCCCACTGACACCCTCTTTGCTCCCCACCTCCTTTCACCCCTCTCCAAACGGTCTATGAGCCTGTTGGATCGCTCCTCAGACTCCGGCTTCCAGTACTGTAGGTGGATGCAGTGATAAAGTTATTCTCTGCCTCTGGGATAATGCTATTAAGCCAGAGGGGAGATGCTAGATGAGGCCATTTGTCACGCTGACAGGACGGCATTGTCAGGGTTTTAGCTGCACAGAAGAGGAGAGAGACGAGGACGGACTCCTCTATTCTTCTCCCTCCTCTCTATTTCTAGAGCCGCTTGTCTGTCGGTGACGTGTAAACATTAGACGTCCATTATGGGCTGCTTTGTCCTTGATAAATCACTGTCGCTAATGTAGCAGGAGTTTTTTTCCCTAATTGTATTTAACAAGCACAATTGTGGGCTCCTGTTGTGTGGAAAGTGATATAGACGTACCCAAAGGCTGTCTGAAAGGCTTCTGTGAATAGGCTTGAGGATAGTCTTTTTATGCTCCTCAAAGTTAGAGGAATAATTAAATAGAAAGAGCAAAGTGACAAAGAATACAAAAGTTGACAAGAATTGTGGCTGAGAGTTTGATGAAACGAGTGATACCACTGTCTCTTTGTTAAATATGAAGCATATTAGCATCAACAGTTAGCCTAGCTTAGGAAATAGGGAGTAAGTCGATAATTTGCTTTGTGACTAACGGCCCGTCCACACGGCGGCGTGCGTTGAAGCTTCAACGCTTCTTCCCATTCACTTTGAATGAGGTGACGTCACGCTTTGTCGAACTGCATTGTGGTTTCCGTCGCCTCGCGTTGCTCGCTTCAAAAGTTGAGCAATGTTCAACTTTTGAAGCTTCGATGGAAGCGTCAGCCAATCAAATCATATGCCAGTACAAGCCAAACCGCGTGCTTGTGTGTCCGGGGCGGGAGATTCATGTGATTGGTTGTTCGTCGAGTTTCAGACACGCCCGCCGGCAAGCTTCAACGCACGCCGCCGTGTGGACGCTGCGTTAGAGTCCACAATATACTCTACTATGACTCTTTATGAAATGCCATGACTTTTTAATCACATACAGAACTGTTCCATGACTTTACGACATACTATACTTGGTAGTTTTTTCTGATTTTTCAACATACTGTATTTCTAAAATATCAGAAATAAACAAAATAGTATAGTATGGCGAAACTATAAAAAAAATGTAGGTCGAAAAAAAAGGCAAGGTATATGTCAAAAATATTGTTTTAAATCCATAAAAACGTCATAGTATGTCCAAAAATATCACAAAAGCCAACATAGAATAGTATGTTGAATAAAGAGGGCATGGTAAAAGGCATTCTCTGTTGCCCGTTAGTTATATTTGAAAATAATAATAAATATATAGATATATATGATTTGAAGTCACTTGGTCACATGACCTTGAAGCTATTAACACAAACAAAATACATTTCAGTAGAAACAATGCTGAAATTTCAATAAAATGTTCATATAAAACCACTGAGACCCTTAACAGAGGTGTGTCCTTCTCATCCAGCGTAGTGGTACTGCTCTAAGTTTGGAGAAAGAGATTGTGTTTTAACTTCAAACATCACCGTCCATCTCACAGGGTGAAGCTGGGGCTGCAGGCCAGAGTGGTCAAGCAGGGGAGAGAGGGAGACCCGGACCCCCCGGCGGGGGAGGGTACCACACCAAGGACGCTCAGCCCATGATGGGCCACGTTGGACCCAGAGGGGAGAGGGGGAGCTCCGGCTCAGACGGCTCCCCCGGGACCCCTGGATCTCAAGGGTCACCAGGAAACAATGTGAGATAGACTCATCACACACACAGCACTCTATTCTACTGTTAATCCTCTCCAAATAATGCAACACCCAGCTTGTTTGTGAGTAAAGGGGATGTCACAGGGGCCAGAGGCGCTCACTAGCTCCATCTGCTCTTGTAAATAATGCAGTTTTTAATTATCTTCCTTGATTATTGTTTACCCTTTTGTTTTTCTCTTTTTTTTCTCAATTCTTAAACAGGCTGTAGTCAATTATGATGAAGTCAAGAACTTCATCCGCCAGCAGGTCATCAAGATCTTCGATGGTGAGGGCGTGTGCCTTGTTATGTGACTGTTGTTATTCCATGTCTCCTCTGGGACCCCTCTGTTATTTACTGCTACTTCATTGTTTGTGAATGCATGTTTACCCTCCCCAGAGAGAATGGCCTACTACCTGTCTCGCATGCAGATGCCAGAGTCGGTGGCCTCCCCAGGCCGGCCCGGGTCCGCAGGGAAAGACGGTACTCCAGGTGTTTCTGGGAGCCAGGGGGCACCTGGAGTCCCGGGTCAGATTGGAAGACAAGGACGATCAGGAGGACAAGGACTCCCCGGTATACCGACAGTCCTTCAAGCGCCATAACAGTGACACAGGTGTCATCATTAGCTAACTCTAAACGTTCTACCACATGTGTCTTTGTGCAGGACCACGAGGGCCAGAGGGAGTAAAAGGAGATAAGGGTGTAGGAGAGATGGGAGACATAGGACCTCCAGGAGCACCAGGTAATGTACCCCACTGGACCAGGGATCAGGAAGTAGTAAAGGCAGCCATGTTGTGTTCAAACCTGATTCAAATATGATCCAACCACAAACCGAGCCCAGTGCTGCCAATTCCTTTGCAATGCTCTAAAAGTTGCCAAATCTATTGTCTCATTTTGTTTAGGCTTTTATATCTGTAATAGTTTTCCACTAGATAATAAACCTAGACCTGATCCAATAAATAAGATAAACTATTTACTTGTTTTTGCATCGTATTGGTGCAAAACAGTGAGTTATAAGTACAGATAAAGCTTTAAATGACTCGTTTGACATGAGCATATCACCCAAACTATTCCTTTAACTTTCTCTATGGAGCATCGTGCGTCAATCATTCTATGTCCCTTCTTGCAGGTGTCCCCGGGCCCCAAGGCTACGGTAAGACTGGCCCCCCAGGTCCCGTGGGCCAGCAGGGTGTTCCTGGGGTCTCGGGCGCCCCTGGGCAGACGGGGAAAAGGGGAAGCGACGGCCGGTGTAATCCAGGGGACTGTGGGAGCCATCAAGTGGAGTACAGTCCCAAGGGCCCAGTCAAGGGCCCCTGGTAAATGGCTGCAAGTGGAGTAGACAGGAAGCCAAATACTTTGATCCAAAGTTTTTAAATCTAACCATCCTTTGTTGTTGAATGGTACAAAAATCCACAATGTCTTTCTGAGGGCCCCGCTGGAATGAGGCCTGCAAAGACACACCAGCAGCACTTTTATGACTTCATTCTTTCTTTTCATTGCCTCTTTATTCTCGCTGTGTTTCACTCCTTTTGTATCATTTCAAACAACCCAGGGGAGGTGACAGGAATCACAATTTCTATTTGTCTTCTCCTTGATTAATTCTGGCCTCTTGTGTTGTTTCTATTCTCTTTGCCTAAATGTGCAGCAGGAGAATACACACAGGTACGGCAGCTCTTAGCTTGCACCTCTGATATCTTTGCTCCCTCCTCACAGAATCACACTCAGAGTCAAACTATGCATTCCTAATATTCTGTCTCAGTGCTGTGATACACATTTGAATTTGACTTGTAATAGAAATCCCCCACAAAAAATATTTCAATTCTGTAGAAACTGACTTTGCAATCATACCCCTTTTTGATGGGTACGACTGTTTTGTATATATTTATATTTATATATATAGTGGATTTTTATACTATTTCAACAGAAAGGAAGACAAACGCATGGCTAGCCACTATTTTATTCATTGTCAATGCATCAAGCGTCAAAGAAAGCAGAAAGGATATTTTTAATTGAATATTGTGTTCATCAAAAGACAATTATTTATAAAGGAAAGTTCCATTTGTGTCATTTAACTCCAGTATTTTTGGAAATGCAGCCATTTTGAAGCATCTCATTGTGTATTCCAAGTGGCTGTAAAAGCCATCTGTCTGCTTCAACAGGCATTTGATTAAAAAAATATGAGCAATTATTGAGTCCATTTACCAGAAATACTGTAACGCATCACTGAGCTAACCACCAAGCCTTCAAGGAGAGAGAACATATTCTGAAAAGTATCACCAATGTTTTTGTAGTACGAATATATTTTGCTGTATTTTTTTTTTTTCCTGTTTTACATTTTTTTAAACTGAATTAAATTGCTTTTCAAAGATGCTGTTTCCTGTTATTATTGTCAACACGTGTTGTTTTGCCAAATATTTGTACCCTTATTGTGTTTGTCTTGCACTTCCTTTTAGTTCTATTTTCTGATTTCTTTGTTCCGTTAACAAATCTGAGATATCGTTTCTTCTTCTTGTTTGATATTTATTGTAAGCAGTGATGGAGGACGCACCCAGATTCTTTACTTCAGTTAAAGGGGACCTATCATGCAAAATGCACTTTTGTACGTCTTTTATACATGAATATGTGTCCCCGGTGTTCCAGGGAACTCACCAAGTGTCAGAAAACACAACCCTCTCTATTTTCCTCCATACCCAAATCTCTAAAAAAGGGGCTGCAACGGATCTGATACAGACTGATCCAGATTTGAACACTGTCCTGACGTCAGGACAGTGGCGCTACGGCTATTGGGCCAACTCCACCAATCAGGAGGAGACAGCCACGGCCATTGCCGTTCGAAAGCGCTGGAGACGCTGTATGTATGTATTATATGCCAGGCCTGTAGGTGGTGCTGTTCTCACTGAATCTGCCCTTGCTAAAAAATGTCAAATTGAGCAAAATGAGGCATGGCTAAAATGCATGATCTGTTTGGTATTTTGAAAAAAAAAAAGTATAAATATGCCTTATATAGGTATGGTCCTACACTATATTATTCAAATATAGCATGATAGGTCCACTTTAAAGTAGCTATATTAAACTGTAGAAATACTCTTACAAGTAAAAGTCCTGAATTCAAAATTGAGTATAAGAGTATCAGCATCAAAATATACTTACATGTATCAAATTTAGAGGAGTAAAAAGTACAATATAGGCTTCCAAAATGTAGTGGAGGAGAGTACATACATAACTAAAAATACTCAGGTAAAGTAGTACGAGTACATCAACATTCTAATTAAGTACAGTACTTGAGTCTACATCCACCACTCGGTAGTAGAACCTTTATTTAGCCAGGAAAATCAATTAAGAACAAATTCTTATTTTCAGAGGCACCAAAGGGTCGGGGGGGCTTCTCTGAACTCTGATGGTGTGTAGGTCACATTACTGTCATTGTTATTCAACCCATCATGTTAACACGTTATGACACAATTGACCAAAAAAACATACAAATCTCAAGCAAAACTTTAAAACAAGTGAGTTTTCCTTTGCTATAACAGTGTGCATTAGAGCAATAAGAGTTGGTAACGTAACTTTGTGGAATGGCTGGAATATTTGACAAAGGAAGAATGTGGACAAAAGCTGAACATCAGCAGCTTTGGAAGAACGGGAGTATATTTACATGCATGAATTGAAGGTTTTAAATAGGAGAAACAAAAAGAAAAGGAGTTGAGAAAGTGTCCATTCCCCACACGATACAGAAAAGCGTTCGATTTTATAAAAGGTTCCTCTTTATTGGTTTGGGTTGACCTGAACAGCCAACCTCTTTACAGATGATTATATGAAGAACAATAAATAGCTTCTGTTGATGAAAATAAATCAGTCATTAAACAGCTGACGCCCTGTGCAGGCTGACAGTGGCATAGGAAGCACATTCGGCTGATTCGTCTCGAGGAAAAGTCGTTAAATATCTGTCGGAACTTTTTATTACTCGCTGAAATTATTAACACAGGATATCTGTTGGTGCATATCGTAACCCATTCCTTTTTTCCCTACATTATAATCAACACACATTTACAAAGATTTACAGCACTGCATTGTGGGAGATGGGAGTGCCCATTGGGATATGCTGTTGCCAGGCAACAAGAGGACGAGATCAAGCTAGTCGTTAGTTTAAAAAAATGAGGCTCCGGAAAAGAAAGCGGGGGGGGGGGGGCTGGGGGGTACACACAGTGATTTAAGGATTTGGCTAAAGCTTACAGATGAGAAAGCATTTTACAGTACGGAGGGTCGATTTCAATCATTTATTGGTCCTTTTTTACACTTTTAAGACATCATGTGTGATGTCGCAAAAGAGGCAGCGCAGCTAAACTTCAAAACAAGTCTCAAAAATAAAATATTGCATGGGTAAAAACATTTAAAGTGACCGCGGTGAAACAGAGAAGCACCTTCCACCACGCCTGGTTTCAAATCTGTTCCTCTTTCAGGGCTGGGATATTTGGAGGGGACTGACATCATCCACTAGAGACTGCAGAAGGATGTGGGTGCTGCTGTTGTCATGGTGATGTGGGGGGGGTTAAGATGAGAGTATGTCCCGCCAGTCAAAAACTTCAGTTTCAGGAGGGGGCGCTATACATCCAGTCACTTTTTCATTATTGTCCCTTACCCTTGGTCCTCGGTGTTGTCCTACAGAGAGGAGTGGTCTCCCTCCCTCTCTTTTTCCTCCCCCCTCTCTCTAGGTGTTGAGCTGCTGATGGAGAGCAGGTCTCTAAATGTTGGGTCCTTTGATGCGGCCCGCCTCCTGTAGTCTGGGGGAGGTGTACGCCGACGCAGCCAGGCACATGGCCGCCTCGCAGAACCCTGGGAGACCCCCAGAGCCCGCCTTACCGGGGTACCCCGCCTCTCCGGCTGATCCCTGGGGTCCTCGCTCGCCGTGCCTACCGTCCCGAGCCACACCATCAACACCAGAAGGACCTGTGGGGGGAGGGATCATTTGCATTTTAAGAAATTAGGTATACATAACAAAATAAACACTTGGATACATAAATTAACTTCATAACCAGAGATGGCAAAAGTACACACATCCTTTACTCAAGTAGAAGTACAGATACTCGTGTTTAAAAATACTCTGGTAAAAGTAGAAGTACTGACTAAACTTCTTTACTCAAGTAAAAGTAAAGAAGTATGGGCTTTGAAATGTACTTAAGTAAAAAGTACCCATAACTAGCAGCTGTTTTAAAGAGTACCTGACCTCCCTTTATATTAATAGAACAATAATGTCATTGTTAGCTAATGAATGTTTCCATGCTGAACAACGGCAACATGACAACGTTTTCATTGGTCCCTCTTCTTTAGAGAAGACCAGGAAATGATGGATACACGGATCGTGTTCAAATCAATAGGCACGCAATGACTCTAAATAATAATGATCACCAAACACAGATTCAAACTAAAGGAACCAGCCTGTTTGGAAAATGTAAGAAGTAGAAAGTACAGGTATTTGTGTTCAACATGTAAGAAGTAAAAGTAAAAAGTCGTCAGAAAAATAAGTAGTGGAGTAAAGTACTGATACCAGAAAAATGTACTTAAGTACAGTAACAAAGTATTTGTACTCCACTACTTCCCACCTCTGTTCATAACGATCGACAAATCAGGTAAAGAAAAAATACGGTAGTACATTAATTGTCAGATCTTACCAGCTGGTCATTATACATGTTTTGTGTTCTTTCATTTTACCCATTTTTCTCATCTTTCATCAAAGATAGTAACTTGGTTTCTGATAATAATGGGTATTTTCTCCATTCCATACTTCTCATTAACTACAGTCTTCCATTGTGAGGTAATTCAGTTATCATCTTTTAACCAATTCCTTGTCATTTCTTTAATAACTGCTATTCTTATCACGAGAAATAAGTAGGAATCTTGCATGATATTATATTATAAAAATATTTGACATTTCCCAGAAGCTACACAAGACATTAAAAGACCAACATATATAACTTTGGTTTGCCCACTGCTCTCCAGCATTTTTTAAGTGGGATTTTGTTTATACTGACTTTGAATTTGAGGAGTCTTGAAGTAACGAATTTCAGGAGGGATTTAAGACGATTTCCAGGCTTCTGAGATCTGAAATCTCCACATCCGATTACCCTTGTGTTCTGTATATATGCATATATTTAAGTTGCGGGCACAGGGGAGTGTGTTTTCTGTTTGAATAAGTGTGTACTGTTGCAATCCTATTACATTTTCTTCCTGGAGCATCTGTTAAACGACTGGAGTTAATGATGCTTTTAAAATGCTTCTGAGCAGCCTCTGCTGTGGCAGGAGCGGTAATACCTGCTCTCTCTTTTTGCACACCCCCTCTCCTCTTTTGTCAGCGTAACATACGGTTTTACATTCTGTGTGTGTGCTTCAGTGTAATGTTTTCCACAGCTCTTACCTGGTATTCCTGGGGGTCCTGGTGCTCCTGGATGGGGTTTACCAGGATCTCCTCTTTCTCCCTTAAGTCCTCTCTTTCCTGGGGAGACAGAGGAGGATGAGCTCAAAAGAAGTGTTTGACAGACAAAGGTCTTTTTAATAACCGTTGCAGAAATGAAAAGAGCAGGAAAGCTGGTGTATTGCCTGAATATTCTTTTTGTTATCTTGTTACATCTGATTAACTTAAAGGGGACCTATCATGCAAAATGCACTTTTTGATGTCTTTTATACATAAATATGTGTCCCCGGTGTGTCAGGGAACTCACGCAGCGTCAGAAAATAAAACCCTCTCTCTTTTCCTCCGTACCCAAATCTCTAAAAACGGGGCTACAACGGAGCTGATCCAGATTTGCGTCCGATATGACGTAATATCGGAAATGTGGACCCGCACGGCACTATCAGACAGTTGCTATCCGAAACAATGCCCGACTGTTTTGGACGTAATATGGTCGGTGTTTACATTAGCATCGCTAACACTCAGAGCTAACCTGTACTGGAGAGCATGTGTGTGAAGAAGCAGGAAATAAAAAGGAACTCACCTTGTGGTATAACCGGCAAGAGAGAAAGCCTTTGAGCTCCATACTGTTTCAGAAATAATCCTTGATAATCCATGATATGGCGTTTCATCACGGCAGTATTTAGTTTAGACAGTAAGGGTAGTAAGGTCCCACATGAGCTCAGCCCCCTCCTTTTTTATTTGTTATCAAATGTTTTTTGTTTTAAAGCTTTACACCTCAAATCAGCACTTTTGAAACAAGAAGTGAAATAGAGGGATATGAGGCATGGCTAGAATGGGTGATCTGTTTGGTATTTTGAGCAAAACACTTCATAGACATGTTTTTTATATATTTGTATATATCTGAGACCTATGCTATTGCCTAAAAATAGCATGATAGGTGACCTTTAAAGTACAATCCTTTA